GATGGAAGAGGCGTGATGTGGGTAGCGTAAGGTAATTATCTCATTTGAATCCTTCTACAACCTACGTCTGTCATGATCACGGTTCAGTTCAAGAAAGCAGTAGGCCACATTTGTCTAAATCAATTTTTGTTTTGTTTTTTGCTTTTTACTCTTTCTTCGTCACATATCTTTTCGACTTAAGGATTGGACTGTAGATAAGTTATTAACAGTCTCACCCTCTCATCGAAAACAATATGTGTGACAGAGAAAGATCTGTGGCCACGAAAAAGCCACACAAAAAAATATTTAAAAAATTGATTTTAGACAAATGTGACATACGTGTTTCTTATATTGAACCGTCGAAACATACAAGCATTTATTTATCTGTACCAATTAGCAACTGTTGCATCGGCGCACTTGTTTGTCAACTTACTACATGGCCGTTGGGCATTTGTGCTTCTCCCGTTACGCACGATTTGGCCAGTTTATTATAATATTATGCATGCTGAAGGTTTGCGTTTCGAAGCCTATGTGTGGGGGCTCTCGTGGCCTAGAGGTTAAGGTGTTCGGCTTTCATTCAATAGGTCCCTGGTTCGAATCCGGATAGCGACGGAAAATTTTCTTCTCCAAAAGTTTCTCCTTTCACTACCTTTCCTGCTCTCTAGCAATGTTCTGTCGTCTGCTTTCATCTCCACTTTCTGCCCCAACTCCCTCACCTCCTTTGCCCCCTCCTCTGGGCTCTTTCTACTTTCTGCAGCCTTTCTACTGCTCTTCCTTGGCTCCTTCTTACTGCTGCCTTTTAGCCACACTTTTGATTTTATGACAGGTAAGATCAAACACTCAGCCTTCTGGGATACGGGCGAAAAATCTCAGAGGTCCCGTGTGCAAGTTGTGCACGTTAAAGATCCCTTGGTGGTCCAAAATCGACAAGAGTAGGCTTGGGCGGCCACCCGGGCAAAATTCAAAATTTCCTACCAACTGAAAATGTTTAATGTGTCCCGCGCGTTCATATGACCTTATGCAGTTGCGAGCGCTGTAAAACACTTATAAATTTATTTTTTAAAATCTGTATTTGGAAAGAATGTCACTTTAAGTGTTTTCTCTCCTCGCTCCCTCTCCCCTCCAAAATAAACGCCGTTCCACGTTTTGTTCATGAGTTCATGGTTCGTTGCGAGAGATAGAGAGAGAGAGAGAGAGAGAGAGAGAGAGAGAGAGAGAGAGAGAGAGAGAGAGAGAGAGAGAGTAGTCGAACTTGCTCTAACGGCCTCCTGTTTAAGAGTCACCTGTAAAGACGAACACTTCTCTCGTCCCCTCTACGATTTTTTTTCTT